CAGAGCCAGGCGTAAGCCCTGAGCTCTGCAGGGTGCTCCAACCCCTTCCCAAAAAAGATTAAGATAGTAATTGTTACATATCCAACTAAAAATAAAAGGCAGCCCAAAATATTTAAGCAGGAAAGCATTTAGGAGTTATAGGCTACCTAGAGATGGCTCTGTGCTCACTGAGAGCACCCTGGGAGGGTGGCACAGGTGGAATCAGTAAGAGAGACCGTCTTCGGGGTTTCTGATGCTGGGGGTCTCCTAATGCCACCCATAACCAAATGAAGTACCTCCATCCGACTGGTGATTCACACTACATTCAGTTGGCGTAACATCCAGGGACTTTTTTCACAAAACACCTACCAAGACACTATTTCATCTATACTTATGCCTTTAATTTGAAGAAAAATTACAGTGAACTTCCTTTTGGCTTTGATGTGGCAGCAGTTTGATACCCCCCAATGACACTCTGTTACTTGTTATCTCTGACAGGTATATGGCATCTGTGAATCTGAGAAGCATACTCCTAATTCCTCTGCCACGAGGAATTCATAGCGTTGCTATGCTCCAGTTGAGAGAAGACAGTGGGATACTATAAAATTCTGAGAGCTCTCTGGAATATACTGTGTGAGGAATAAAAATTAAAAATGACAACAACAAAAAGTCTTTTCTGTTAAGCAAAATGTTAGGAAAACGGAGCAAAATGATGTCACCACATCATTCTTCTTACAGGATTTAATGTCATGTTATTTACAAAGATTTTACATTTTAGAGAATTAAACCTTGTCCCTAAGGCTTGAACTGCCCTTCAAATGAAAACAAGCACTTGGAATCTTAATTGCTGACAAGAAGAGGCAAGTCCTTAGTAAAGCTCACAGCACTTACACATCTCTTGCCTTCTGGCACTTTTTCCAACCTCTGTGGATGGAAAAATTGTTTTCAATTCCCTACAGACTGTGTCTGGCTAAGTATGAAACATGAAATAGTTGGAAGTACCTTACTACTTTTTCTATGTCATCTAGTTTCATCCACTTTGAACTAATTTAATTTTCTTGTGGGTTGGGGGCTCCTAAAGCAGGACTCAGGGGTGGTGGGACAATTCTGGGTGAATTGTCCTAAATTGGTGCATTTCCTGACAGGCCCACACCTGGGGTGGGGGGACAGGGGAGTAGAGAGGGGCCACACAGGGCCAGGGATCTAACAGGAATCAAGCATCCTAGTCCTGTACTATCTCCCCAGACCCTAAAGCAAAGTTTACAATGTCATCACTGTTTTCCTGAAACTTTCAAAATTGGTTTTTCTCAACAAAGAATGTAGAATCAAAACAAGAACTGTTTTAGGGCTGGAGCAATAATACAGTGAGTGGGTAGGGCACTCTGCCTTGCACATGGCCAACCCAAGTTTGATTCCCAGCATTCCATATGGTCTTCTCAGCCCCGCCAGGAGGGATTCCAAAATGCAGAGCCAGGACTAAGCTCTGGATACCTCTGCGTATTACCCCAAAACCTTTCTCTCCTCTCCTCCCCTCCCCTCTCCTTTCTACCCCTCCCCTCCCTTCCCCCTTCTCTTTCTCTTTCTCTCTCTCTCTCTCTCTCTCTTTCTCTCTCTCTCTCTCTCTCCCCACACACACATCCTTTGTTCTCTGATTATTCTGAAAGAATGTCTGGATTTTTAGAAGTGAACTTAGTATCTGTGGTGAATTTTTTTAATTTTTAAATTGTTTTTAAATTGAATCACTATGAGATAGACCCTTATAAAACTGTTCATGATGAGGTTTCAGTCATACAGTGTTCCAATACCCATCCCTCCACCACTGTACATTTCCCAGCACCAATGTCCACAGTTTTCCTCCCATCACCCCCCACCCCCACCCCTCAGCTTGCCTCTATGGCAGGTACATTTCCTCTCCCTTTCTCCCTCCCTGCCTCCTGCTCTCTCCCTCCTCTTTCCTCTCTTCTCTCTACCTCTCCTGTCTCCTCCCTCTCTCTCTCTTCCACTTCCTCCCTTCTTCCCTCCCTTCCATTTGGGCATTGTGGTTTGCAATCTATGGTGAATTTTAGACCATCCATATGCCGTCTTTATTATTCCCATGTATCTCCATGATTGTTTTGACTCTTATACTACTAATTTGACTTGTACATCTAATGCCCTCAGAATAGTAATATTAATATAAACCACAGTGCAAAAAATTTATATATATATTTATATATATCACATAGAGAGAGATAGAGGCAGAAAGAGACAGAGAAAGTGAGATGGATAGAGATGAAAGGAGAGAGAGATGGAGAGAAAGAGAGAGAGATGGAGAGAGAGAGAGCCTCTCATAGAAGCAGACAGGTGGGCACTGGTAGAGAGAAGTGGACACTGATGAAGTGACTGGTACTGAAACACGGTATGCCTGAAACCCAATCACGAATAACTCTGTAACTTCATGAGAAGGCCACAAGTTCATGATGATCAATTAATTTAAAAAATAAAATAATTTTAAAAAGAGAGCAGTGATGTTTATGGATCTATCTAAAGATTTAGGGCGTCGTCTCTCCTCAAACGTGGCCCTCTTCCAGAACTCTCTTTTCACTTTCCCCCACCCTAATCCCTTTTATCTAACCAGCCTCAAGTGCTTGCAAGGAAGTCTCCTGAGCTCTTCATCTCCCAATCCCCCGCTGCCAATTCCTCAGTTCTGGCCCTAATGGCTGCCTGACCACAGGTTTACACAAATTCCCTCCACAGGCTGCAGGGCAAGGCCACAAGTTCAAGGGTGGAACCCATGAAACCAATTGTCAAAGACTAATGAGAAAGGGGCCCCTTGGAGGGGAACGGGTTGAGCTTTCCTCCCCGCCCCGACCAGGGCTCCAGCAGCCAAAGACCTCCAGGACCAGCCACCACCATGCTGAGACCACTCTCCGCACACATGAAGGTACTGGCAGAGGGACAAAGTCACATCCTATTATTTAACATCTTATTATCTCATTCCTACTTTGGACAAACTGGCAGGCTACCGAATGTAGCCTGCCCACACGGCAGAGTCTGGCAAACTCCCTGTGTCGTACCAAATATGCCAAATACCAGTAACAATGATGGGTCTCATTCTCCTAAAGAGCCTTGAATATAATCTCAGGGCTAGGATGAAGGAGACGTTACTGGGGCCTGCTCGAGGCAATCGACGATTAACAGGATGATTTGTGATTTTTGATTTCTGAATGAGAAAATGGGCCGAAGAGAGTTTACATGAGCTGCTGTGACCAGAGTAGAAAAAACTCCTAAGTGCTCAGCCCAGTCAAAACGGAGTGAAGAAAACCCTCTGTCACAGAAGGTCGTCTAGTAAGTGAGCTGGGATTAAGAGAGGGACTGGGGCAGAAGAGCACGGCAACTGGAAGCGATTCTAGAGTAGCCTTTCATCCTTCCAGACCTTCCTCCTCTAGCAGTTCCCGCCATTGGTAAGGATTTCTCCGTGCTTCTGCCTGGGCTTTCCCTTCTGGCTAGAATAACCTGGCCGGGTACCTTGAAACTGGAAGATCATGGACTCTGAATATCTTATTTATCTTGCACTGTCTCTAAGATTTTGAGAACAGTACCAGGTACAGAATAAAACTCACTAATTACCAACTGAAGAATCTATAAGTTCTTAGTGCATCCTCAAGAATATTTTTCTTTCTTTTCTTCCTCAATAAATATTTTTAATGAAATGGAATAAGGCTGCTATGCCCCTTTGCCTATTTTTTTCCCAAGACTGAGTTCCTCCAGCACTTACTGGATTCTTTGATCTTTCTTTTATGGTGTCTTTTTACATGTGGGAAGCTTTGCTCCAACACATCCCAGCCTTGGAGTCAGCTGGGGGGTAATTACAAAAGGAAGAATTTCATTATTCCCAGGCCCCAAAATGTGGAGCTACTGATAGATTATGCTGTGAGATATTAATGTGTTTTATGTTATTGGCTGAATCTACACAGTCCCCAGAGAAATTCTCTACAGGTTAAAGGGTGGGAAAAACGCTCTAATTTTTATCTAATAACCAAAATAAACTATGTTGAAGACTCAGACCAGTTATCTAGAAACTTATACATTAATTTACAGTTGTACTATCAAATAAATAAAATAAAATTTAAAGAGAGAGAGAGAGAGAGAGACATGATCGAATCATATTATGTATCTGGAGAAAACTAGAAAAAAAATCACAAAGCAATCTGTATCTCTTCTTATTTCATTTACTCATTCATTTCATTTCTTTTAGTGTTTTGCAAATGCTCTGAATGAATCTAACTGCTAAGAATTTAAAGATGAATATAACCTTAAACCTGAACCCAGGGAGACTGCAATTTAAGGGAAAAGAAAAATACTAATTAAGGTGCTTTGACGTAATCCAAGTTCTAAGAGAAAGGAAAGAACCCGTTTTCCAAACAAGTGGACAGTATCCTGCAACAGTTACACTTAAGAGTTAACTTGCTGCAAAGTACCTATCATTTCCATCCTACTTAAGAGAATTTAAACGTCATTAATATGACAATGCATTAACTAAATCAGAACGTCAAGATAAAAGAATTTTCAAATTCAGCAATCCAGAGAAACACTCATCATCTTGGGGAAATAAGTACTGCAGAGTGTTCAAGTCCAGACAGATAAAAGAGAACATTTATCAAGAGCTCAATCAAGGGAAGAGAGTTTTGCTTGAAGAGTGACAGCTTGGTGGGCCTCTTCCCGGGAGTTTATTTTCTCCTTGGAAAGCAGGAACCAAGTACTGTCCTCAGGGTGCCTCCAGAAGACATAATATCTTTCAACACACAACTCTACGTTGTGACTCAGGGTCTATAACCTGGCTCCAAAAAGGGGAGTGGGGTGGAGATGATGTGGACAAAAGCAAAGGAAAAATAAACCATTAAACAGATTCATGGAGTGAGAGAGGTGACAAAGTTCTGAAAAAGCACAAGAGTTCAAAATTATCCAACATATCATAAACCGAGCAAAGAGCAATATTCATTCATTCATTCATTCATTCAGACAATATTCATTCTCCCTACCTGCCCCGTTTGATAATGTCGAGCAAACTGGCTCACCACTCGGTAGTCATTTGCAAAGTACTCCATCAGAATGGAAGGAACCTCAGCAAAGTCAGTGGGGCACCTGGTCCCTGAAATGAGGGATGGAGAAAGAGTTGTCATCAATAAAATCAACAGATTACCTCACCACTTATGAACTCTGAAAAAAAATTATTTGTATTTCTGATGAACTATGATAAGCTTTGATTTGTTAAACCAATATTTTACTTCTATAAAACTATTACACATATTTGCAGAAATATTTATGATAATCCAGAATATTTTACGATATATCAAAAGTAAAACAAAATATTTGCACAGCTGGTAGAACCCCTTATAACATAGTGCCCACTCTCTTGGAAAACAAATCTCTCTTTAGTCATGCTGGGCTATACCTGAGATCCAAATTAAAACATTCCTTTATAGTGCATTTATTTTGCATTTAATTCACTGAATTTCTACCAGTAAATACCTTCCCCTTTCATTTGTTTTAACAGTAGTTTGCTTTACCCACTGATTAAGTTTTTGCAAGAAAGTCAAATCCTCAAAGTGGAAATGCAGTGTTTCTAACTCAAAATACATGAACCAACTAACTCACAAGAACTTTTTTTGAGAGAGAGAGAGAGAAGCTCACAAGAACTTTTCATGCTGTTTTGTCACTCATTACAATCTTTTCAAAAACCTTCACCTCACACAAAACCATGTGCATATATCTAGTTAGTAAATGTTATTAACTAAAGTCAACTGTTTACCAGGTGATCTAAATCTGAAAAGACAGAGTCAGAGGAGCAGCCAGGGGCCCGGAGCCTGGCTCAGCAACCCTATGGTCGTCCATTCGAATCCCGAGGTCCCAATGTGTGCAGGGCGATGCTGGCAGCTCTGCTCTTTGTCAGCGCTGAGGCACACGCCATGTTTGGGCCCACTGCTATGGGCAGTCAAGTCTTAGGACCACAACTAGGAAAATGCATCAGCTGCTTGGTCAGAAGGTGAGCCCCTAGGAGTGTGTGAGCTCAGTGAGCACTGTGGCAGAGCGCCTGAGCACCACAGTCCCCGGCGGAGACGTGCCAATACCACAGCCAGGCAGCCACGCGTACGGGCAACAAGCCAAGGGATGGGAGAGTGAAAGGCTGAACATCAAGCTGAACCAAGAAAAAGCAATAATTTGAGCAATCATTCAAAGAAAATCTCAGAGATGAAATAACTAGGAAGAAAGTCCATAATAGCAACAAATATGCTACAGGAAGGCAGGAAAAAGTAACAAAGCAAGAATGTAAGACTGGGGGAAAGTGATTATACTGTTTCAAAATGTTTTATTACACTTTCCAACTGATTTCCCTTAGAGAACTTCATTCTGTTTTTCACTAATTCTGTGAAATATATTAAAGGCATACACATTATTATGCACATATACATTATATTTTATTATACACACGTCACACAATTAGACATACATGCCTCACCCATATCAACACATACATACATTACGCACTTTATTCCCACATATTATACACACTGCACAAAATTATACACATATTATATTCCCATAATATACATACTGTATACACATTATACATCTAGTATCATGTTAACACGCACATATTAAATGCACATTATACACATTGCAAACACTACACATACATGAAAATATACTTACAGAAATACATTATACATAAATTACATATACAGTGTACACTCATTATACACATTACATATACACATACATACTTGCACACATACATGCATTTATACTCAATATACACACATCCTACACACACCAACATTGCATACATTCCAGAGAAACCTATAATTTATACACATATACAAATGTACATTATACACAGACATGTAAGGCACACATATAATGTGATACACACGTTACGTCCCGTTACACATATGCACATATTACATACACACACACTTCCTATCCCATCCCACACAGATACACATTGCAGTCGCTGCCCCCTGACTCACCAGTGACATGCTGGTAGCGGGTTCGGCCGAGCATAGAGTGCATGGCATGTCCCATTTCATGAAAGAGATTTTCCATCATCCCGGGAGTCAAGAGCGTTGGCGAATTCCTTGAGGAATGGGGAAGGTTCAACATCAGAACTACGACTGGCAGCTGATACTCGCCGTCTTCCTTGACTCTGCCCCCACGAATTGTAAAATGACAATCCTTTCAGAATCAGAAAACAGAAGTATTAGGTCATCTAAACACTTCCTGCTTTGCTCATTTTTCTAAAAACAACATAGTCAGCTTAAGGTCACTCATTTATTCACTCCCAAAACATGGACTGAGTTCTTGCAGCCACAGATGCAGCACAGCCCAGGTGCACAGCCAGGGGGAAGTGGCACTCCAACTGGCCATGACCTTCCCAGGAGATGTGCCATGGGCCAGGAGACACTTTCCACATCCACTGTCCATGCAGCGAAGTAGGATTGTCACACAGTCCAGACAGCAAAGACTGCGACATCCCTCATTGCCGCCTTCATCACCTGCTCTTCGAGAGGACCACCACATTTTGCAGATGAGAAAGCAGCAAATGGGACTTGGAAGCATGGTAATGTGTTTTGGTTTTGGGTTTTTTTCCCCCAAGAACACAAAGTCAGGCCCAACAACCTCCATCCCGGCCAGGCTGACTGCAGAGACAGAGCTTCAGTTCAGGGACCAAGCAGGGTGATCCCACCATAGCACGTAGTGGCAAACCATCTTGGTTTTGTTCAGGAGTGTTGGGGGCTTTGAGGGTGGGGTTTTGTTTGTTTCAGGGCCACACCTGGCACTGCAGTGATGCTACTAAGGCACTCTGTGCTCGGTGCCCAGCTCTATGCTCGGGGGTCACCCCTGTGGGTGATCGGGAGACCCTGTGGAGCCCAGGATCAAACCCACGCATCCTGCATGCAAAACACATGCATACAGACAAATCGTTCTAGAAAGGGGTTTGCTGCTAGCAATCTCATCATCTCCACCTTGTCAAGTCCCAGAGCAGCGCCCTATACCTCATAAACTCACATCCACTAAAGGGCTTTGAAAACTGTGGCAAGGTGTTCAATAATAGGTACCATTATCCTGTTAGAACCCAAACTCTTGCAAGTCCCTTTCAATTGCCCCAAAATACTTAATGCTTAAGCTGATTGGCCAGCAAATGTGGAATATAGCTAAAGAAAGTGAACATCACATATCCCACAGGGAAACTGGGACCATTGGTGGTGAGAAAAGTTCACTGGTGAAGGGACAGGTGTTGGAGACATTATATAACTGAAATCCCAATCATGAACAACTTTGTAACTATGTATATCACTGTGATTATAATTTTTAAAAATGGAAAAAATAAATAAATATGCTTTTTTTTCTAAAAAGAAAAGAAAAGAAGCAAATCGGTGGTTGGTGAGGTTTTCCTATGGATATTCTGTAATTTTAAACTAGGGCCATTGTGAAGTACCGAAAGTCATTACAAGCCGGATCTCTAGTCAGAAAGTTTAGGTTCAAGCCCCACATTTCTCTCTGTGACTGTGGACAAGTAACCTAATCCTTCTGGCCTCTAGCTTTATTGTTAGTGCCCACTTCAAAAGGGGAAGGAGAACAATGAAAGATGTGACGTGCATTCCTACTACCATTATCACTCAGACGAAAAAAAAGACAACTACAGATCTAAGCCACATCCTTCACTAGTTTTAAATTCTATCCAAATTTCACATTCATGTTTTCATAACTATTAGTAACTCCCTCTAAATATTAGGAAATGGTGAAAGTGAATTTCTGTAAAACTCACACTAATTCAAATTAGCTTCTAGAGAAACCAGTTTGTAAACAAAATAATAATTACCTGATGTGGTTTATCTGCTCGTTGAAAAAAATCACAATAAATGTACCCCAACAATCCCTCAGATTCATGAACCACAGCCTAGAAACAAACAAAAAAACTTAATTTAGCAGTTAATGAAGTCAACAGAAACTGTCACTGTCCTCCCGTTATTCATGGATTTGCTCGAGTGGGCCCAGTAACATTGTGAGACTTGTTACTGTGTTTGGCACATCAAATATGTCACAGGTAGCTTGCCAGGCTTTGCCGTGCAAGCGAGATACTCTTGGTAGCTTGCCGGGCTCTCTGAGAGGGACAGAGGAATCGAAGGACAAGGAATCAAACTCAGGACGGCCGACCCAGCCACGTGCAAGGCAAACACCCTATTTGCTGTGCTCTCGCAAAAAATTGTCCATAACACAAGAACACAGACACGTTTTATTGTGTCTGTCTCTATTCCATCTTATGAGGAAATGGATTCCATTTTCACTCCATCTCCTGGATAATTCTGTCTTAGTAACTCTACCTGGGAGAGGGTACCCATCCCATGGTCACATCACCAAACACACTAGCTAGACCATTCACAAGCCATCCATGAGGGAGGCATCTGATACCAAAGGGGCAATTTTAACTGTAAAAACCTTCTCTTATTCTGGAGCTGGAGCAATAGTACAGTGGGTAGGACACTTCCCTTGCACAGTCAACCCTTGCTCAATCCCCAGCATCCCAGGTGGTTCCCTACACACTGCCAGGATTGATTCCTGAGTGCAAAGAGTCAGGAGAAACCCTGAGCATTGCTGGGAATGGCCCAAACTGCATCACCACCACCCCCCAAAAATTCTCTTCTTTAAATCTGAAGAATGGGATGATAAGTTTCATAAAAATGAGAATATTTGAATACAAAAGCAATTCAAAAAGAAAATTGCTCAGGCATCGGAAGATGGGTAGGTAGTGCTCTGATCTTTATGCCAGCCAATCTCCCGAATCAGGAGTAGTTCCAGGAGAGCTGGGCTGGTCACTGCCACCTTTTCTACTCCATCTTTTCATGACCAGAGAATCATGCCAGAGTTGCTCCATTTTAAGCCACTCTGAAACTTCCTACAAACATATAATCACCACTTTAAACATTTCATAAGCACCTACTCCATGCTGGGGACTCTTCCTGGATCCTAAGTACAGCAGGAATAAAAAGAGTAAGCAATGAAGCCCAGAGGGGGCCCACACCCTGAGCTGGGTCACCTCGCCACCTTATATACTGTGTTCTCACACTTGTCTGATAATGCTTTTTTTTTTTCACTTCAATTTCCATTTCAAGAGCATTTATCTCGCTCCGTGATCTCCGCAGGTAAGGGCAGTGACAGAAGTGTTCCAGTTATCTGAGCTATTCCATCACCACACTGATTCTATGTCCACAGAACAAAGCCATGAAGTGAAGAGTACGGGATGGCAAACAGAAGTAGAACATAAAAGAACCCGTGCAAGAAAGATGACTCACAGGGCTAGCGCACATGCCGCATGCACGTGACACCTGAGGTTTGGTCCCCAGCATCACTGGCTCTGAGCATCGCTGGCTCTGAGCATCGCCAGGAGTTTATCTGGAGTACTCCCAGGGTAACACTGATGGTTCCTCTCCTCAAAGGGTCTCAGGATCAAACTGCCCAGCCCAGTCCAGTGACATGAGTTACTGGGAGTGGTCTCTGAGCAATAATATCCTCCCCAAATTATAAAACAACTACAACACACAACACAACGTGATAAATGAGTAAGCATATTCTCAAAAATCATGTCAGAAAAAAATGAAAATGGTTATGTATGCTTCAAATAAAGTCAGTCCTAATAATAGTTGCAAGACTTGAAGTTATTAGTTATGAAATAAAAAATGAACACAAGGGGGTATGTTGCCACCAGCAGGTCAATCTGTACCTGTGAGGTGAGTGCATCAGCAGCCTGATGGCGACTTCCGACTTTCAGATACCCCCAAATTGCTGCTGTGCCTTTAGCCAGACCCCGAAAACTTGGGGCAAAGTTTACCAAGAAAGTAAATGGCCAAAAGTTAGGTATGTGGGAGACACACCCACAAACCACCTCTGGCTCAGCTATATAATTGGAAGCATGGCCTCTCTGGTTCCTGATTGAACTGCTTAACGGCTATGGTCCCAGAGACTCAGAAACAAATCTCGAAACCCAATGACTTTTGGCAGAAATGCGCCCAGTTCCTGTAGTAAGTTACAGGCAATGGTCCACCCCAGGTGGGAATAGGTTTCATGCCTTGGCCTGTTCCCCCTGGCAGCCCGGTGGCCATCATCCTCCAGAGGCCACTGGACAGTCAGGATTGTGCCCACAATGACGAGTCACATTGGGCCTCACAGGATGGGGGTGCAGCTGGCCCTTTCCTCCCCATCCCAACAAGACCCTGATTCGCTGCCTATGAACAGCCTCTCTGGCTCCTGATCAAGCTGCTTAACGGCCATGATTCCAGAAACTCAAAAACAAATCTCGAAACCTAGTGGCTTTTGGGAGAAATGGGTCCATACCACACAGTAGGTTACTGTCGCCGGGCCACCCCAGGGGCGAAAGGGTGCTGATCCTCCACCTGCTCCCCCTAGGCAGCTCGGTGGCTGCCATCTTCCAGAGGTCACTGGACAGTCAGCTTTGGGCCCTCAGCGATGAGACATGCTGGGCCTAATCGGACGGGGGTTGAGCCGGCCCTTTCCTCCCCATCCCAGTGAGACCCCAAGTTGCCACCCACAAATGGCCTTTCTGGCTCCTGATCAAGCTGTTTAACAGCCATGATCCCAGAGACTCGGGAACAAATCTCGGAACCCAGCAGGTTTGGGCAGAAATCCCTCCAGATTTAAGTGTTAAAATTTCAGAATTTCAAAATCACATGGCCCTACTGCAGCCACGCAACATCATATGTTATTCATAACCAGCAATAGAAAACAAATTGTCTACTGTTGCCTTTTCAGCAGATCTGAGTGTTGGGGTAAAATCCCAAATAATAATGGTGGGTCTGGTTTCAAAATGTTGAATGTGATCAAAGTAGAGAGAGAGTAATGTGGAAATCATCTGCCCCACAGGTATGGGGAGGGTGTGGGATTGGGGTACACTGGGGTTGTTGGGGGTGGAGAATGGGCACTGGTGAAGGTACGGGTGTTTCATTGTATGACCGAGACTTAGACCCAAAAGCTTTGTAACTGCTCTCACAGTGATTCAATAAATAAAATTATAAAAAATGAAAAAAAAAGTAAGGTGGAGTTCATGCCCAATTCAATCAGCTAATCAGTGGCTAAATAAATAGCAGTATTCCTACATAAAAAAAATGAACACAGGACATAAATTATTTATTTTTAGGACATAAATTATTATCTGATCCGTATGTAAGCTCCTTCAAGATGGGAAGTCAGGCAGAAGGACAGGAAAGGAAAGTAATGCAATGAATTCTGGAATGAAGCATATGGGAAACTTTAGCACAGTAAGAAAATAAAAACTAAGTGGGATTCGCCAAATATAAAAATCGAATCTTTTACTAAGTTCCTAAATTTTAGAGACTCTTCCTTTCTATCATCAGATTGCTTTCAGGCAACTGATTTTAAAGAAAAATGTTTCTTTTATAGCATCCTAAATCAGATGTGGAGATTTGAATTTTTCATGAAACAGGAATAATTAAGACCCACATTCCATCAGGTAAAGTAACTTAAGGATGCCACTGCACTTTACAAACCCAAGACGTACAGCAATGTAACTCTGAGCTCATTCAAAGCGTAACAAGCTTCAGGGTCAGAATGATAGTACATCAGGTAAGGGCATTTGTCCTGCACCATAGCCAACCCAGGTCCAATCCCTTGGCACCTCATACAGTCCTCTGAGCCCCACTAGCTCCTGAGCTCAGAGCTAGGGGTAGCCCCTGAGGATCACTGAGTATGGTCCAAATACAGAAACAAACAAAAAAAGATCTTACCAGCTTCCGGACATCTTCGCACCAAACTTCTCCTTTGGCAGGCTGCTCTGCATACATCGAAACCCCGAGCAGTTTACTAAACAAAATATTCAGGCCTTCCATGCACGCGCCCAGGGAGAAAAAGGGGCAGTATAAGCTGGGCTCAATGTTGTACCTAAGGAAAGGGAAAAGGGACTCAGTAACATTCTTATTTCCTTCAGGACCAGTGGGGTTTATAAAACAAAAGGATTAATAGTGAAATGGTAAATCACAACCTTTGGAGGCATTTTCAAGGTTTTTTTTTTTTTATAGAAAAGAGATTCTCAAATTATTAGCAGTAATGCACTAACTCTTATAATTACAGTAGAAAAAACATTTCCTGGCAGTACTCCTCTGTCGGGTTCCTGGGCCAGCCATCAGCTCAGTTAGCTGGCAGGCAAGCGACCTCGGTCACCTGCACCACACACAGCATTTCTGCATCTTCTATGCGAAACGGGTCACATCAAGATAAAGGTAAGGTAAAGGCCCTCCCGTTGATCATCGATTTGCTCGAGCGGGCCCAGTAACGTCTCCATTGGAGACTTTGTTGTTACTGTGTCTGGCATATCGAATACTCTCGGTAGCTTGCCGGGCTCTCCGAGAGGGGCGGAGGAATCGAACTCAAGATATATCACATAAACATGAACAAATACAAACCTGAATTAAAACTCACAACCAAAAAACTAGTGCTTAACAGAAAAATCTGTCACATAAACAATCTGATCTTAATTGATGTTTTGTAGTTATATACCCTAAACCAAGAGCAACATACAGTAAGGTTAGTTACTCTGCACCACAAATACTTCTGTTGTTCCTTTCAGAGCCCAGAGGCTGGGGGTCACTCCCGGCAGCGTGAGGGGAGCCTCCACACTCAGGGCGAGGGTGCCGGCCTGGCATCAGTTCCACACTCCCAAACACTCTCATGTTCTAACGGAAACAAAAATGTGCAGACTACGGGATATAAATGTCTGTTTTCAAGTTATCAAATCTGGTGACAGTTTAGATTTGAGGAAAAATTCGAGTATAGATTTTAAATTCTTATAATCATCTATGCATAATATCTTAAATGTAATTATGAATGCACAAGATTGTGAATGCAGAAGATTAACTGATATTGCCAGTGATTAGAAACAAATATAAAGTAACATAGATTCTAAGTATTTCAGAAAATAAGCCTTAAATAATAGTTGGTCCAGTATTCATAGAATCCCAAGGTTAACTACTATTAACCATTTCCTGCGTACCCTTACACTACATCACTGTCACTGTCCTTCCGCTGTTCATTGATTTGCTCAAGCGGGCCCAGTAACGTCTCCATTGGAGACTTTGTTGTTACTGTGTTTGGCATATCGAATACGTCACGGGGAGCTTGCCAGGCTCTGCCGTGCAGGCGAGATACTCTCGGTAGCTTGCCGGGCTCTCCGAGAGGGGCGGAGGAATCAAACTTGGGTTGGCCACATTGGCTGCGTGCTATGCAAACAGATTCACATGTATATAGATGCATGGACACATATATGTACAGAAACACAGAGTTATACATCCACACAAATGCACTTCATAAATCTATCATTGCAATCAAACTGAATCCCCCACTTGTAGGATCCTTCCATGTGAAAACACAGCATGGAATACTGACTGCTCCAGGACATGGACTTCCACCTTACTCTCTCTGAGGGGTGCAGAGCCGTCCACAAGCCTCTGCCATGGCCTCTCCAATGCTTCTGCTAGTCTGGTGTGAGTGGGCAGGGAGGCAAGGCCAGAAGAGCCACATTCTAAGAGCAGTCGCCTACCACAGACAATGTCTAAACTGTGCACTCCTAGATAGCAGCAGGAGTGCAGGCCCGGGAGCCAGCCTCCGTGGCCCATCTTCTCTTTGGAAGAGGTACCAGGACTCCAGCTGCCCTGGCTCGGAGTGAGTTCCCGAGTGAGTGAGCAGCTTGGCTCTGGGGTAGAAGAGCCCTGGTCACACCAGGACAGGCCCATCCGCACCCTGCAGACATGGCCCTGGGCAAGGTCAAAACTGCCAACTCAGCCTGGAATTCTTTCTCAAAGACTGATCGAGGCTTCTCTCTACCGTGTGTAAGTCCATACCTGCTACCATCATTTTTGGCAATGTAAATGGAATGCTCTTTAAGTGCCCTGTTATCTTGTTTCTTTGGTTCTCTAGGCTGCATTTTATCTTTCTAATAATTCAGGGTTTTTAACTCCTCTCGTGAAAATCACTGTTAAAAATACTTAAACATTTATTAGGAAGGAGCAGCAGTTTAGTACACCAAAGCCATGAAAGTTAGCACAATTTTAATCATGTCACCTAAACTACAGTAAAAAAAAAATTTTAGTAACAATTTTTTTAAAGAAATGCTGAATCTTAAGGCTATTCTGGCAGTGTTAACAGGACACAGTTCTTAATACAAGAAGGCATCATTGTTGTGACCCAAAAAAAGGTTCAATATCACAAATATATCCTTTAAAGAAAATAAGTAACTGTAAACTGAAGTTTTATCCCAAAGTCATGATGATGATGATAGAAATAATTGTCAATGAATGCTCAATCATGTATCGCATTTAACTGTAAAAACTATCCTATGAGGTTATACCGGTTTCCTCAAGCTGACATAAGACAAGGTTCACATGAGGATAAACAATCTCCCTGTGGTTACGAATAATAAACAGTAAGGCTGAGATTTTCTATTTAACCGGATGACTACAGTCTGGCTATTCAAAGTAAAGTAGGAGAACAGAGGACATGTCTTCATTTGGACTAAGGCACTGAGGTCGCTCTCACAAGTCTGTAGAAGTGAGAATACTAAAGTAAAGAGTTTCACTGCATCCTCGATTTTTACATTTCCTGGATGCTTTCAGAGCCAAGACGGTAGAGGAACAACACACTTGGTAAGCCAGAGCCCATGTTCACTCTACAGGGCATACGACAGCGAACAGAAGACTGAGAGCTGCCGATTTAAAGATGAAAATAGGAACAAGAGGAGTGGATGCTGAGAAAGTGGCGAGTGGGAAGTTCTGTGTGGACCAAAGAATTTCAGGGAAGAGGAAATAATGAATCAAGCCAAAAACTGCGGCAGTCTGCAGGCTGGGGTCTCCAACCAGGGCTTGATGACTAATAGCAGCGGACTCTTTGGGAAAACTAATCTGAAGGGCTCCCAGGCTCTACAGCAGAGCCCAGAGGTCAAGGTGAGGAAGTATTGCCTCAGGGAGCCCCAGGCTGAAGGGGCAGAGCGAGGGAAGTGAGAGGACTGTCTTCTCTGTAAGAGTCATAGGGGGACAGTTCCATAGTTGGAGATAAGGGACAAGAGGCCCGCAGCAGGCACAGGGCAAGAAATGAAAAGACAGAACAGACTCATGACATGCAATGAGGTTGAAAGACGTTTGTGAATAAAGCAAGAGCTGCCGTGGACTGAGACCCTCTTACCAAGCATCTGGCACAAGCAGCACCCGCATCCCCAGAGGGCTCAGGGAGACAGAGGATGGAATTCTTACTGAGTGTCACATGAGGAATCTGAGACTCAGAGAGGCTATGTGAAGTGAGCTAAAACAGACAGGATCAGTTCAGAGCCCAGCGCCTGCCTTGCTTCTCACGGGTTCTGTGCTCTGAGCAGAGGTGCCCTCAGGAAAGGGGGCCACTATCCCCAGACCCTGGACACTCCTCCAATGCAGGCCAAGGGGCAGGAAGACTAGGTCAGGCCTGGCAACCCGGAACTACAGCTTCCAGCAGTCCTGGAAATGGCAAGTGTACCTGTCCAAAGAGCAGGACCCCGAGCCACAGAGCGTGACTGACCCGAGCGGACGAGGTCCGTAAGGGAACACGGGGAGACTGTGCTCGGTGCTTGCTGGTTGGGGAAGACGAGAACACAAGCGTCAGAGAGGAAGCTCAGTGGCAGGCGGCTCCAGGTGGATTCTAAGCCGCGTCAACGGAGAGTCCACAAAGGCTCAAGGGCATTCGGGGGACAGGGCGCGCAAGCCCCATCAAGCCCGGGACGCTCAGCCCTTACTCAGACTGCACACCTGCTCGCTCCTCCGTGCCCTTAAGCAGCCTCACAGGGAGAGATAATTCCTGCCTGGGTCACAGCCAAGGTGGGAAGAGGGACAGGGAGACACAGAAACGTAGGATGCTGGGAGGCATCTCCAAGCTCAGAGGCAGGGCAGGAGGCCACAGTCTCACACGGGGCACTTTAGGGGCCACAGGTCACTCCGCACCTCAAGGCTCTATGGCAGGGGCCGCCCAGCCTGCGGAAGGACATTCTCCACCATCAATGTCCCCAGTATGCTCCCTGCTTTCCAATCCTCCCCCTGCCTCCAAGGCAGGCAATTTCCCCCATACTCTCTCTCTACTTTTGGGCATTATGATTTACAATACAGATACTGAAAGGTTACGATGTTTGGTCCATTATCTACTTTCAGCACACATCTCCCATCCTGAACAATCCTCCAACCATGTCTGTCTTAGTGATCCCTTCTCTATTCCAGCTGCCTTCTTCCCCTGCTCATGAGACAGGCTTCCAACCATGGAGTAATATTCCTGGCCCTCGTGTTTTCTGACCTTGGGTGGTTACCGACATTTTGTTGGTAGGTATGGCATAATTTTGTGCCCCTAAAAGACAAAAACATTTATATCCTGGAAACTTTCTCAATAAATTAATAATAAAGAAGTAAAAATACAAAGCATTTCTATTTCACTAAATGAATGCAAAGATTTTGAGACAATGTTAGGAAAGAATAGACAATACTGAATTCTATTTCCCAATATCTTAATGTAAAGCACTGTAGTACTGTCCTCCCATTGTTCATCGATTTGCTCAAGCAGGCACCAGTAACATCTCCATTGTGAGACTTGTCACTGTTTTTGGAATACTGAATCTGCAATGGGGAGCTTGCCAGGCTCTGTCATGCGGGCAGGATACTCTCGGTAGCTTGCCGGGCTCTCCAAGGGGGACGGAGAAATCGAACCCGGGTCGGCCGCATGCAAGGCAAATTTCCTACCCACTGTGCTATTGCTCTGCCAATGTAAAATAGCACCAAAATAAATAAGGCTAAATACCAGCAGAAAATAATGTTCCCAAAATTAAAAGACAAAACCAAACTCTGGAAGGATCTTTTATTAAACAACTCTAAAATCTTTTC